ATCTCACTGGAAGATCCCAATTTGTAACTATTGATGGACAGCAGTCAAGTCGTTTGCCTGTTAATCATGGTGTGACGCAGGGTTCAGTACTGGGACCTACACTGTTTCTTCTATATGTAAACGACATTCCACTCCATCTATCACATTCATCAGTTGATATATTTGCAGATGATACAACCTTATCTGCAAGTACTTATTGGAATGATATTCCCTCAATGGTCCATGATATAAATTGTGATCTTGCTGCCTTAAATCAGTGGTCGATTCAAAATAAGATGAGTATTAACGACAAAAAAACAAAGTTTATGCTTATATCAGGAAAGCGTCTTGAAAAGAAAATCTTAGAAAAAGGGAATATGGACATAGCAGTTAAAGTGGATGATACACAGATTACTGAAGTAAATTGTCAAAAACTCCTTGGAGTAACGATTGACAATAGATTAAATTATGAAGAACATATTGATCGATTATGTCGGAAACTCTTGAAACAGCTTGGTCTTCTCAAACACTAATATTAGTCCGTACCTCAAGAAACAGCAAAGGGAGTTGTACTTTAATAGTGTTATAAAGCCTACGATGATGTACGGGAGTGTAATCTGGGATAATTGCAATGCTGAATGTTTTCAAGGAGTCCCGGGTCGAGCCAACCCGGCTTTACATGAAGAAATGAGTAAACTTTTCACGCGTTCACACCTCGCCAACCCGGGTCGACCCGGGTCTCGAGAAGGGTGCCCCAGGTTGGCGAGGTGTGAAAGGTTGACCCGGCTATCATGTAAACGCTAAAAAAACTGCACATTTTAAAAAATCCTGCGTAAATTGCTAGCTCATAGATGGTGTGGTAAAATAATAGGCTTACTAACTTAAGACACATGCGAGACAGTTAGCTTGAGACAGTTAGCATGGTCTCAGCTGAGATTTTAGATTCAGACCGCATCTAAATTTCCATTAAACATTTAAGAGACTCTTGATGCATTTAAAACTATTTTGAAACCAGTATGGTTGCCTGTACATATCCACCTAAACATGAAAAAATCATGAATCACTTTACTAATTTCCACAAACTAGATTTTACGGCGTGCAGCTGTTTCTTTCTCCAAAAAAATACAACTACTTCAGAATTTCGCTTTGTTGAAAATTTCACCAGATATAATCAAGAAGACTAACCCGTTTAGTTTCAAGTTGAGGCTTTTGGTTTACTGCTGGTTTCTTTGGTTCTGAAATATAAGAATGGCATAATCAACTCTTACGGTGGTATTACGAAAGTCACCGAACTGTGGAATCGCATCAAAAATTCGTATATCGACCACTCCCACAAACGTCTACGACCGCGCCTACATAGTTTTGCACGTTTACAATTCTAATTTTAAACAGCCAATTACCAAGAACCTGATTGGCTGTTCAAAATTAGAATTGTAAACATGCAAAACTATGTAGTCGAATGTAGGCGTGGTCGTAGACGTTTGTGGGAGTGGTCGATATACGAATTTTTGATGCGATTCCACAGTTCGGTGACTTTCGTAATATCAGTTTGATAAGAATAGTGTGGCATAAAATAATCTCAAACTCATTAATAATTCATGAGAAACTATGGAATTATACTGCCATAATTTGGCACAGTAACGTGAGACTAATATGATTTAGTATAAATTTCCAGGTGACTATTGATTTTTCTGCATTCTGATTGGTCAAGATTCACTGTCTCTGAAGTGATAGTCACTGGTCAGTGACTATAGCTTTTTTTTCAAAATGGCTGCTCGTTTTGCCGTAGTAACAGAGGGGGGAATTGCCAAAATTAAAGAAGATAGCATTCCGAAAAAACCCAAACAAGCTACAAAATATGGCTTAAAAATATTTCAAGGTAAAATATTAAACTTTACGTGCTTTTATTTGGAAAAAAAACTGGCTTAGTCGCAACACGACACAGAGCCGTGTCTGAGATTTAAATTTTGTAAACAAACTATTTATAGTGAAAATAAATTTATTTGAAGTGAATTTTTATAAAGTTGTGTGGATTATTGTTTGTAAACACCTGGAAATTTATACTAAAACAATTAGTCGCCTCAGGCTCGGTGATTACAAGCCTATATTCACTTCGCCTTCGGCTCAGTGAATATAGGCTTGTAATCACCTCGCCTTCGGCGACTAATTGTTAAATAGTACAGTACTGTGGTATGGTACATTATAAGTTAATAGACTTATTTTTAAGTTTATAGACACTCTAATAAAGATCAGGCCTTTAGCTGTCCATGCATTAATTGACACCGTTTTTGTATCATTACAATAAAAAATGGCCATGTACGATATGCGTTCACACTATACGCTGAAGCGAAATGACGTGTGTTTACACTAAGCTGTTAGAGTTTCGGCTCACATTGAGCTCGTTTAAAATAATGTTAAAAATATAAAGACGCGCGGTGCCGCTGTTCACACGAAGCCGCCAACAGCTCCGTTTTCATCTCGCTCCGTTTATATGACGTCATATTTCCGCCAAAATTCAAGTTTTCTATTTGTGATCCTAGTCTGTGTATTTTGTTCAATTCTTTAATAATACAACATTCAACTTTTCACAATTGAACATTCAACTTTTTCACACAATTGAACATTCAACTTTTCACACAATTCAACATTCAACTTTTTTACGCAATTCAACATCCAACTTTTCACACAATTCAACATTCAACTTTTTTACGCAGTTCAACATTCAACTTTTTTACGCAGTTCAACATTCAACTTTTTACGCAATTCAACATTCAACTTTTTACGCAATTCAACATTCAACTTTTTACGCAATTCAACATTCAACTTTTACGTAATTCAACATTCAACTTTTTACGCAATTCAACATTCAACTTTTACGTAATTCAACATTCAACTTTTTACGCAATTCAACATTCAACTTTTTTGAACATCCAACCGCAATCCAATTTAAACGACGTAACGCCGGCTCACATGTGGCTCAATCACGAGGTGTAAAATATGGCGGATTTAAGCAAAGTGAAAGACACACTAGTCAAGTTAGCAAATAGAATTTCCGACTTGCAACAGTCAAGTGAGGCATCTAACAATTCAGGTAAGTGTAATATTGATTGTATTGGTTTATTAATATTCCTCTAAATTTATTTTGTCAACATAAAATTTTAAATTTACATAAAATTTGCGGCGCTAGGGTAGAGTGTCGTTTGTATAATCTTATGTTTTTAGGATAAATTGATTCGAACAAAATAAAAAGCAGCGAATAAGTGAATGGAAGGTATTTTTGTACACGTTTAATCCACAATTTGATCGAAATATACCGGGCAAGCTTGAAAAATATGCCTGACCACGGTGGGAATCGAACGTACGACCTTTGGCTCGAACCGACCAGACCGCGTAGCTCAGTTGGCAGAGCATTGGGCTAGTATTCCAAAGGTCGTACGTTCGATTCCCACCGTGGTCAGGCATATTTTTCAAGCTTGCCCGGTGTAGATATACACTCAGAGTAACATCACAAGCATCATATTCACCTGTATACACTTTATAATATATTTCGATCAAATTGTGGATTAAACGTGTACAAAAACACCTTCCATTCACTTATTCGCTGCTTTTTATTTTGTTCGAATCAATTTATCCTAAAAACATAAGATTATACAAACGACACTCTACCCTAGCGCCGCAAATTTTATGTAAATTTAAAATTTTATGTTGACAAAATAGTAGAGGTCACTCAGGTGTAGTACAGTACTTTTAGAGGAATATTAATAAACCAATACAATCAATATTACACTTACCTGAATTGTTAGATGCCTCACTTGACTGTTGCAAGTCGGAAATTATATTTGCTAACTTGACTAGTGTCTCTTTCACTTCGCTTAAATCCGCCATATTTTACACCTCGTGATTGAGCCACATGTGAGCCGGCGTTACGTCGTTTAAATTGGATTGCGGTTGGATGTTCAAAAAAGTTGAATGTTGAATTGCGTAAAAAGTTGAATGTTGAATTACGTAAAAGTTGAATGTTGAATTGCGTAAAAAGTTGAATGTTGAATTGCGTAAAAAGTTGAATGTTTAATTATGTGAAAAGTTGAATGTTGAACTGCGTAAAAAAGTTGAATGTTGAATTGTGTGAAAAGTTGAATGTTCAATTGTGTGAAAAGTTGAATGTTCAATTGTGAAAAGTTGAATGTTGTATTAAGAATTGAACAAAATACACAGACTAGGATCACAAATAGAAAACTTGAACTTTGGCGGAAATATGACGTCATAGTTTAACAGGTAAGAATCCTTAACAAAATGCATCATTTAAGGTTTTTAATGTGTTTTAGGTTCGTTTATGAGTTCATAATCCACACATAAACACTAGCGTCTTGTATTTTGTTGAACGCCGCCAAATTAAATTAAATGTCAGAAATGAGTAAATTTGACCAAAGTTTGAGGAGCTACCACGTGAACGAAAATCGTTTGCCCAAAGATTTTTTTATACCATTAGAAAGATAAACATATAAGTAATCGAACATGGACGTTTCAAGCGACTAACAGGTTAAGCAGTTTTAAAATTCATATTTTTGTACAACATCCTCTGAGCGACTCGAAATATATGTCTAGCGAATAAAATTATATTGTTGTGTTGTAACTGAACAATTGATCTTAAAGTCACACATGTTGTGCACAATGGAATATTTTCAAATTATTTGGGGTGTTTGAACCTCTAGCGTTTCTTATTTTTCGACCATCTGCCGCTAAAGTTGAGTAATAATTAACTGTCGTAATCGGCATTTTTTGGTAGTGTTTGATAATTTATATTTTCTCCGTTGTAAAGCGTTATTTGATCAAACCAACTATAAGGCAATTCTTGCGATACATTACCTTCGCTAACTTGAAAGTATAAGGGAAATCGATTTTTCAAAGGTTTGCCGCGAATTTCAAATTTTGCGTGATGGTTACAGGCAGTCACTCTTAAATATAGTGTATACAAATACATGTAGCCTATAAATATTTTAAAAATATATTATAAATATAGTTAAAACATTGATAATAAAAAGTTAAAACATATAGTGTAAATAGTCTTTAAATAAAGTATAATTAGTAAAAGAAATTGAGAACAAGTGTAGAAGTGCTGAAACATCAGAGGCTATTACAGACCTACTTTAGTATTTACCTTTTATAAATGCCAGACAATTTTACTAATCAGTAGGTAGAGGTCTGCCAATAAATGAGTTAAAAATATGTAGTTAGCAGTCTCAAAATTAGCCGAAGAGTTAAGTATATACATACAGTAACTTGGCTGGGGACAGGGC